CGTGTCGTGGCAGGGAAGGAGCAGGCGACGTCCATCGTTCCTCTTTCACCCGCGCGGGCTGGTGAACCCTTGCTTGTTTTTAACTCGGGAGTGAGGGCGCCTGCAAACTCTGCTGCTTGGGCACAAACGCGGCCCTCTGGCCCCCGACTCCTCAGCGTTGCTGGGAGGTCTGGCGGTGCGGGAACGGAGGACCTGGTGCTTTCCCTGGGATCCCACGCTAAAAACCTTTCTGGGCTTTATGCAGCCTTCTGGTGGGGAAGAAGGTTTCTATGTCGCTCCACCCATCCCACTCGTGTGCCGACCCCCCGTGCCTGCTGCTATCGGGGAACCATTGCTCTCCGCTCTGCCTTTTCCTCAGAGTCTGTGGGCTGACGTTTTTTCTCTGGCTCAAAGGAGGAAAGCTATTTGCATGTGAAAATACAACTAGAATTTGCCATTGAGTATGTAGAAATGTTTTATAGCAATAGCTGGAGCTTCCTATCGTTTTATTTTTGGACAGTTATATAGATGACGCTAAATAATTATCATTTTCCAAGAGAAGAACTGCAGAGCACGTCTGCCTATGGTCAAACAGGCAGGTCTCAGTGCCAGCTAAGCAAATCGTTTGGTTTTTTTTTTAAGATAATCCAAGTTGTTCTTTCAAATAAGAAAAGTTAATTGCCTGCATTCTCTCAAAAGTCGTGGGTTTTATTTTATTAATTGAATCTTTGCTTCGTCAGTGAGGCTTCTCTCTATGACAGCCATGAGACACAGTTTCTCCTTTCTTTGCATTTACATTCAGCAGTATTTTACAGTAATCCATATAATTACCTTTTGCAGATTTGAAGTTGCCATGTCTTTATTCTTAATAATTGGCACATCTATTAAGCAGAAGCGGTATTTTCTTACAATGTCCTCATTAATTATAACTGTATCCTTCATTTACATAATAAACTTTTTGGGGCAATTTCTGCAGTAACATTTTACGGCTAATAGGAAGCAATTTGCTTTCCTTTATTAAGTACATTAAAACTTCATGCCCCAGACATCATTGACTGTAAACATTTGATTCTGCTCAAATTTAATGCACCAAGGCATTTTGCTCTGCCATATTAGGTTTATTTATGCGCTGTGTTCTGGATTGTTAGCTGCTAATGAGACTTCAGCTCTTATTGCTCTAAGGCCTGAACACTAACCTCATTTTAATGAGTTCATTATTTGCTGCCTTCTGAATGGAAGACAACAAATTTTCCTTTTAATTAAAGGTCAAAACACCTCTGGCTAAGGAAAGTGAAGAGGTTATCAAATCCTTAGAGCAGTTAAAAGAATGACGTTTTTCTGATTTTTTGATGCCAAGCATGGGCAGGCCAGAAGAAGGAGGTGTTTCTCTGGGGACTGAAATTCCAGATCTAGGCTAAGTGATAACAACACTAAAACATGGTAGCTAGTTTCCCAAGATATTGTAAAAAACAAAAGTCAGACAACGTAATTAAAGAGGCTTTACTCCTAACTCAAAGGTCTGTGTGGATCAATACTACTGTTAGAGCATGAGCCCTTGTCTGCATGTGAAATGATTTATAGGGTGCAGAGGACAGATGCCAGATGAATTGAGCCAACAAAAACTAATCTCATATTTCTTATTGGGGAAAGTGAGGCATATGCGATCAATATTGCAGGCTGTTTCTAGTGAGAGAGAGGTGCATGCAACTGTGTGCGTGTGGGTGCCCACGTTAAAGGTGACTTACACAGAAAGTGAACCCTTTCTGCGAAAATACACGGTGGAAACTTCAGGCAAACTAAAGAAAAGGAATGGGAATTAATATGCAGATTCTTGTCTGTTGTACAGCGTTTAATATCCGGTCACCATTTTAAAGGTAGACTAACTAAAGTCAGTTTATGAATCTCTCATTTGAGAAGCTGCTCAACCACAGATACTAGTATTAGAGACAGCAGAAGTATTTGTGAAAGATAGTACTAGTGTCTGTGAGAACAACTGGTTATTTTTGGAGGAAAATTTTAGCATTTTGAAAACCTAATAACCACCCTTTAGAATGAAAACTGAAATTCTCAGGATGTGCTGATAAAAACTTCTAAAAAATTAATTCTGCAAAACTGAACTTGCAGACATTTCAGAAACCTTTCCCTTTCCAGAAGTTGCTGAATGTGCCTGAGAGTATCAGAAGTAGCCAAGGATGTTCCCAAGTTTTGCAGGGCTCAGCGTTACCCCACCATGGGCATGAAGCCCTCTGATTTCATTCTAGGTTTTCAGGTCTTCCAGGCTCCTCGTTATATATTTCGCCTTCCAGATACAGTACTTCACAGGATTCACAAA